AATGCTTTATATAAAGCAAGCTTTCAATGACAAAAAGCTTGAACATGAGAAACAGTAAACAAAAATAGCTAACAATGCTAGATCACTAGATGGATATAAACAAATTTTGTTCCTTCTTTTGAACACTCCTTTAATAAAATATCTAGCTTTGGGCATATGACCTCGTGGTCCGATTAGTTGAAGTGCACATTTTCCTCAATTGTCTTAAATTTAATACACCCATTCCTAAATTTGTAATTGTCTTTTTTTATTAAAAAAGTTTATTTTTGGATACCAACTAAGAGGATAATGAAAACTTATACAAAGCATGAGTAACTTTGATATCTCAAATTTAAAGATTTAATACATCTACTTCATCATTATCTTAAAAACTTTATTAATTTAAAACCGTAAATCAAATAAGTTATCTCAAATTACCACCTTATTTGTGTCCTTGAAATGTATAAAAAAAATAAATCGTATATATGATTCAACAAAGTAGTCCAAGTTTCCCCCTTTTTTTTCCTTACAGTATCAAAGATGAGCAAGATGACACGACTGATGTGTGCTTTACTCCTGATGATATGGTAAGTAGATATGGGGAGAGAAAGAACAAGATAGCCACACACGATGGCATTGGCAATCACAAAGAACCTGCATACATACACATCCAAATTCAAAATTAGAGCAATTTTCTTAATTTAACCATATGAACAACCATTGTAAGGAGTACCTAGAAAGTGAAACATTATTTTTTATTATATAACCCATCTTCAATTGTATATCAAAAATTATTTGGACAATTCATGAACCATCATATGTTGATAACTTGATATTTGATAAATACTTACGTGAGAGAGGGAAGATCGTGATATTGAGCTCGAAATTGGAAGAACTGTGTGATAAATGGTAGAGTTTGATCTGTAGTACCCATGGCCAGGGCACTTCCCAGTGTTCCAACAATAGCACCAATTCTAAAGAACAGGTCCAGTATAGAGACCCCTATATTCACCCCTTTTCTTCGGTGTGCTTCGCCTGCAGCCTCATGAACCTGATCATCAACTTGTTCTGCCTTCATTTTTCTCTGTATATTTGAGTTTCTTCTTTAAGGTTCTTTGGTTTTGTGATGGTATAATGCTTGATACAATATGAGGAAAGAAAGTAAGTATTCATTTGGGTTTCTCTCTAACTTGTGTGCAGCGCACAAGTTAAGACTTATTAATTAAAGTATTTTTAATTAATTCTTTATAAATTTTTATGTTTGATTCATAACCTTTTACAAATTTTAAATATAAATATTATATTATATTTTTTATATTTTATATTATATTTTATTTGAATCTCACATAAAATTTTGTATAAAATTAATTATAACTAATGTAATTAATAATGCTTAACATGTGTTATAAGGGTAGAAGTTAAAAAATCCTTTCATTTATATAGAAATTAAAGTTTGAACATATAAGCAAATTTGTATTTTGTCTATAAATCCAACAGCTAAAAACAATAAAGTAGGTATTAGGTTTGTCAAGATTGATATATGTGGGATTTGCTTCTTAAACCTTGGTCTGATCTCATGATAAAGCTAAAGGATGATGGAGATTCCTTAATTAAATGAATAAAAAAAATAAGATATCCTATATTGCTACCTGCCCACTTTTTTTTCTGCCACAAAAAGCAATTTCATCAATGAAACATGAAATCTTAAATCTATGAGATATAAACCAGTCAAAGGCGCACATGAAATCTTAAATCTATGGATGCATCCAGTGTCTCATGACATGAGATATAGGGAATTCCTTCAAGCTTTTTGACAGTGACACGATCCATAGATTACTTTGGATATCTGCTATTCGGATTTGGACTTCGAGGGATAGCTGTGGGAATTCAGATGACTTGGTAAACAAGTGGGCACAAAAGAAAAGCTCATTAGAACGATTGTCAGACAAACTTCTGGTGTACATTGCTGACGCTTAAGTCAGCTAGGAGTTTGATAAGAGTGTAGGTTGGGAAGTGAAAGAAGAAAGGATTATAGTGATTAGGTAGCATAGCCTTTGAATTGGGAATAGAGATTGCCAAAAGCTGGAATTTTGAACTTCTAAGTGCCACCACTCTTTTTAAAGGAATTATAATTATTGAGTCATAATGATAATTATTACAATATATCTTTTGATGACATATCATCAACCTACTAAGATATGTAGAAATATGACATTTGACCTAGTCTTCCTTGCGAATAAGTACAAGGGCAACTATGATTGTTATTAGAGAAATGCCATGTGGTAATGGATAGAGGAGAACCACTTGCAAAAGGGGTTAACGGTCTGTTACGGGGTCCAACACGGGCGTACGGCTGCATCCGAATGTGGGTTGATCCTAACCTCGTGCGGGCCTCTCCATCCTTTATTCTTTTTGTCTTGGCCATAAGTCTTGGTGCTAGGAGTGCTTAGTTAGCTCAATCAACATCACCTAGATTACTTCGGTTTAGTTCCGCTAATTCCATCTAGAACATCTTTGGTCAAGGCGCTATGAGCTATCAGGGGTTTAGCTCGATTAGGTCCCCTATTGAAGCTTTCCATTTCGTAAGCTATCTAAGTTGTAGACTAAGCTCACGTGGACCAATCAGGCCATGCCACATGTAGGTTGCATACTAAATGATATTAATATGGATATATATTAGATATTAGATGCAATTCATAGATTCATTAACAAAGAGAAAGATTAAAAAAGCAATTTGATGAATTGATTCTTCAGTTACTAATTCATATAGCAAACAACAAATAATATTAAGAGTGACTCCATGCTATACACCCCCTTACCTAGCTATTTGATTGGAAAACAAGAATAGATATATTGTTAAAACATGACGTAGAAGCACTAGCGTTGCTGCAATTAATATTGCACCTAGAAGTTGCATCCGCCCTTTTTCAATTAGCTCGAATCTCCTTTGAGTAGTAGATATCTAATAATTAGTTAAGTACGGTTGTACACTCTTTGTGAAAACACAAGATTTCTTGAGTTGGCACTCTTCAATTAATAACAAAATTAAAAACAAAACCTTTATTTACTATTTATGTAAGTGGAACCAATTATACATATAGAACTTACATGATGCGCATGAATATGATGATTCTGCCTTTCTTCATTTCCAGCACTGCGCCCTTTCATCACAGATCTAACATGTAAATATGATGTAGAAATATAGCCAAAGACAACCTGCGGATCACCAGCATATATTTGCATCCTCAATGCTTTTAAATCTGATCAACCATCGGCAAGTCATCCTTGGCTACATTTCACTACCTCATACTCACATGGAAGACCTTAGATGAAGAAGAAGAAGAAAAGAAACAGAGTAATGTAATTGTTTGTTGTACAAGAAAGAAATGGGGGTTGGTTTATAATTTATAAATGGGAACCATCACACATCATTTTGTACCCTCAACTTGAGTTATTATATTGAAAATCTCAAATTTAAATTCTATGAGAGGTGGAGAGGGATTTAAAAAATAAAATAATTACACACCATTTACTGATGTTTTTTTTTTAAGATCTTTTTATTGATACCTTTTGATTTACTGCAATCCAGGAATTGGCACTGGTATGGAAGCAAAATAAATTAAAAAAAAAAAAAATCAAATGTTAACTGAAAGTGGGATAATTGATTAATTAGAGAAGCAGATCTTTATGATGTAATATGAATGGGGGCAGCATGAAGGTAGTTATGGGGTGACATGGCCTTTTCTCTGCCAACTTCTGGATGCATATCCTGAAAATAGAATCATGCTATCAATCCATCCCCACATCTCATGCCTCCTTTTCAGCCAAAGCCAATGCCGACTTGCATTTTCTGTTACAAGTTTACTGATTACTTTATTCCTCCCCGATAGATTCAACCTGCTATGATACCCATCTTATCTTAATTATCAACTCAAAACTAAGATATCAGAATGTATTTTAGGAGGAAGGAGGTATGCTGGGAGAAGTTTGGAATTCAGAGCCTATTTAGTTAGAAAGTCAACTTTACTAAAGGAAATTTTTACTAAAAAAATAGTTGGAAAATACTATACAAAAAATTAATAAATATTTTATGAAAAGTTGATAAATTTTATAATAAAATTTTGTTGAAATTTATTGAGTTATTAACTTATATTTAACAAAAAAATTTAATATAAGAAAAATTAATGAGAAAATTGTTAAATAAGTTCTATATAAAAAAAAGTTGGAATAAACCTTTTTCTTTTAAAAGTATAAGAACTGAAGAAAATTTTAAGGGCTGGAAATTGTGTTAAAAACATAAAAAATAAAAATATCACTTTTATTTGTTTTATTATAATAGTAATATATAAAAATATATAAATAACTTTATAAAAAAATTAAAAAAAATAATAATAATTTGGCAACCAAACACCTCCTCAAGGTTTTAAAAGATCAACGGAAGTGGTCGAAAGGGGATACAGTTTTGGACAAAAGTAGAAGTCAATCTGTTGTTCCTTGAACTGAAAATGATTTATAACAGTAATTTGACAAAGGCTTGGTTTGGGACTGATATAGTACTTTTTCACATAGTTTCTTATCAAAAAGGAAAATATGAATTTATTATAATTATAATAATTAATAAATTTAATTAATATTTTAGAAAAAATACATATAAATTTAGATTTTCAAAATAAATTAGAGTCAATGATATTATTTTATTTAATTAAAATTTAATTTAAAATTTAAAAATTTATCTTATTAAATATTAATATATAAATTTAAAAACTGATTATATATTTCTTATATAATTAACTAGAATACATAATTGATTTTTAAATTTAAGTATTAATGTTTAATGGAGTAAAATTTTAAATTTTGAATTAAAAAATCAATTTGCAAATGTATGATGGAACTTCAATTTTTTTACAGTAGTGATTGATTTACACTATTTTTAATATTATATATATTATATATATTTTTGAAAGTGGACATTAAAAATTCTGAAATATATTGCACCAATGAACTTTTTTTTTTTTTTTTTTTACATCCAATGAGCTCTAAAATAGAGATGCTAGTTAAAAATTCTAATAATAAAGTATAATAAATTTTATTATATTATAAAAATTATTAAAATTTTTAATAAATCTCCAATAAATATTTAATAAACTTCTTTTAAGAGTTTAAAATTAACCCAAGTAATATTAAGAAATCTATTATTACCCAATTACACCTTTATTATATACAAATAAATTTTTTTGGCCGATTATTTTCACTAAACCTAATTTTATTTTTTTGATTATTTAAACATAACTTTTACATAAAAATTTAATAATTTATATTAATAACGATTAAAAATTATTTGTTCTTATATGAAATTCTTTTTAAGTATTCTTATTTAACAAAATTTTTAATTATAATTTATATAATATTTTAAATTTTGATTTAAATTTTATATTTTAAAAAATTAAATTAAATCAATTAAAAATAAACGGACCCTACTCAGGAATCTACTCAAATTCTTTTTTTTTTCTTCTTCTTTTTAAGAAAGAATCTATCCCGGCCAACCGGGCCTGTGACCCAATTGGTTGGTTCCCAAGCTTTAAGGCTTGGGTGAGGCGAAAGTTAGGATTTCGAGCTCTGCTACCGCCGTAAACTCCACCAATTTGTGACCTAATGGTCGCACGCCTCAAATGAGGGGTGGAACGTTTACTTTTCTGAAAAAATTTCAGCTGCTAACAAACTAACTCTACTAACTTCCTAACCATCTACCTGGTCAAAAAAAAAAAAAATCTATCCCAATTCAAATTAAATACAATGGAGGAGTACGTCTGTCATATATATTTACCCGACTTAGGAATGATGATAAGAAACGATCCCATCTCCGCCATGTAAACGTCCGTGGCCCTCTATGCCTCATCATCATCGTGGCCACCTAATTGTGGCCACCTAATTACGAACCTAAGACCTTTTCAGGAATGTAAATTACAATCAGCAAAGCCATTGAAAGCGTGGTATCTTACTGTCTTAGCCAGTTGTTTGGTGAAATGATTTAAAATTAATTTTTAGTAATTATATTTAATTTAATAAATAAGAATATTTAAATTATTAATAATAATAATCATTACCTGTCAAATTTGATAAAACTGTTATTTGATTGTATTAAATTATTATATCAAACAGCTGATATATTTTATTTTTAAAAATTGTTAAAAAAAGTTTTTTAACATTTTTTTTAAGGTGTATTATTATATTTTTTTATATTAATTAATATTAAAAAAATAAAAATTAATTTTTTATTTAAGTAATCATTTAATTAAAATAATT